ATTGGTGGATAATCGTGAGAAGTTCTTGGACTGCTATTAAATGTGGGTGGGGCATGGGGTGACGTGTTCGGTGTGTGCGATGCTGGTGTCTTTTGGTATGCGTCTATTAAAATTAGGTTAGATTGAGATTTTCATGAGGATGATATGTGGGGGAGGGCAGTTTGATGATTGATTCCGTGAATTTGTGTTGTTATTTCGTATAGTGAATTGGATGATTCCCGTAAGTGGGGGAAATAATTGATTAATATTCAACCATTTTGTGGGCCTTTTTTCGATAATTGAATGTAAAGCTAAATCTAAACATGTCATAATTTTTCAAGAATTTAATGTTAAGAATTTCAATCAAATTATATTTATTTTTGTTTTAATTGAAGGTAAATTAAAATTCAAGTCTACAACTAAAATGGGGGTTTTTAAAAATTCATGACCATCATCCTACATCCTTTGAGATTTATCCCCTTCGAAATTATTATTACTCCATATAGCAATTAGATTGCTAAATGCTCTACATAGTGGAGTTAAGAATCCTTCAGATTTTTATAAACTAATCTAACAAGAGACTAACACCCGATTAGACTACAATGAGAGTTTAGCTGAAACCATATATCTGTGGGATGACCAAATGAGAGCTGTGACGATATATAAATTATTAATTAAGGACTTTTTAGGTTAGAAATATTTAGGATCATGAAAATAATACTCAGGACAATAAACAACATTTCTACATTATATTTTATCATTCTTTCCTAACGATTTTCATGTTTTGTGTAAATATAATTTATTGTAATTTGAATGGGAAGTGAAAATTTATTTTCCCATCATTATCTCCTTGAAGTGCTAAGTTTTAGATTTTAACAGAACATAATTTTGTATTTTTGTTAAGAATTTATAAATAAAGGGCATAATTTAATGCAATAATAAATTCATAAAAGTTTTAAATTATCAATTCTAGACCTAAAACCAAAGCAGTCCACCATTTTCTAGTTCACGATATATGTGCGTGGCTATAATTTTAGTCATATTTGAAATCAAAATGATTTTAGCCACATATTAATTCTTGAGCCAACAAATTTTAAAGTAACTCAAGTATTTCATTTAATCATAAAACAATACTGCATATTCAGATTGCCTTTTTAATTTTAAGTCTACAATAGAGTATTCAGATATTAATACAATGTGTTTGATTCAAATATGTAAAATTGTGTAAAATAAAATTATGAGTTGAGATGCAAATTTGGTCAAATATGTAAAAGATTATAAATATCTTTAAAACAATAATATTAAATAGATAAATTTCTTCACAGCAAGCATTGTTCAAAGAATATTCTATTCCATCCTAGTCAATTTACTAAGTTTTCAGTAATGATTTATCCTTTGTAGTGATACAGCATTTGGATGGTCTTTATTTTAAAAAATATACTCAATTTGATGTTTGAGGTAGACAAATATTTTATAAATTCATTTTGACTAATCTTGTAATTGCCAAGTTAAATTAAATTGTTTTCTATATCTTGTAGATTAATAAAATTGAAAATAAAGGAGTTAAAATCTAAGTAAGAATTAAGAAATAAGATTTAATTAATAATGAAGTATTCAATCTAAATTTTTAAACTTGAATATTAATAAAAGCAAATTCGTTGTGATTAAAGTAAAGTTAGAATTCATGAACTCCCTTATGATTTTTCAAAATCTCCCATAAATTATTTTTAATTTCATTAAAATAATGAAGATAAAATAAAATTTGAATTCACTATAAAAGGTAAATTAAAAAGTAATAGTCAAATAAAGAATTGATATTATGATTAGGGATCCGTAAAATAAATAATAAAAATAGCTACTTAGATTTTTATCTTCAAATACTATAAATATTAAAGAAGGATTTTTTAATGCATTTTCTATAAAAATATCAACTGAATAAATTTTTTTTGTTTTTGGAAGTGATTCCATTAGGATTGAGTTAGAATTCGAACAAACTAATACATTAATTTAGTTAAAATAATTAATCCAAAATGGAGTGGCATTAAATTTCCTCCTTTCTAAAAACCCTAA